CTTTCACCCCTCCCCCCCCCCCCCCCTGCCCCCAGCCTGGGGTCACAGCTGTTCAAACAGAACCCTGTAAGGACCACATTTCTCAGCAGCTTGTGGGGGGCAGGCTGGGAGTCTGTCTGAGGTTCCCCAATGTGTCCGCAGGCCGGATCTGGTGGGTTGGATCTGGCCCAGGGAGGGTGTTTTGTCTAGGCCTGGTCTTTCCCCTGCTAAATACAGAGGGAAATGACCTCTTTACTTCTATTCTAGAGTCCTATTTATGCATCCAAGAATTACATTAATTCTTTTGGTCACAGCATTACCCTGGGAGCTCCTGTTCAGCTGACTATCCACCACAGCCCTTAAATCTTTGACACTGCCTCTCAGGATAGAGTCCTCTACTCCCTGTAAAGATGGCCTATGCTATTTGTTCCTAGATGGTTGTTTTCATTTAGCACATCATTTTAAAACACACATGGTTTGCTTGTGCCCAGTTTACTAAGGAATTCATCTCTCTGTGTCAGTGGCTTGTTTACCACTCCCCCAGTTTTTGCATCCTTCACAACCATCTTTTTTTTTTTTTTTTTTTTTTTTTTAAACTATCATTGATGAAAATATTAAATAGAGGAGAGCTAAGAATCAGTCTCTGGAGCATCCTAGCAGAAACACACACGCACAATGATTGGCTGCTTACAATTATACTTTGAGTCAGCAAGTTTTTAATGTGTGCAGAGGTGAAAGTAAATGCATGCACCCTGGTGAGCAGCTCCAGTAAGAGCTGATTGAGCTGTGGCAAAAACCAGCTGGGAGCTATTTAAAGAGCTGGCAGGGATGCAGGTTGCAATAGGACCGTACCCGTAAGAAATGTTATTTTCACCCCTGAATGTGTGTCACATTAATTTTACATCATTCTGTTTTTTTAATTGAGATGTTGGGTGGTACCAAGTCAAACACCTTAACAGAAGTGTAAGTATACTATAGCAACACTATGACCTTTAATGGACCAAATTTGTAATCTCATAAAAAACCCTCAAGTTAATTTGATGGGATCTCTTTTCCATAAGATCATGTTATTGACAATTATAATGCTCTTTTAGTTCTTTATTACGTCATGTATCAGCTAGGGATGTTAATGGATGTGGGGCTGGAAGTGATAGCCCCTGCCCGTGGTGGGAGGGGTCACTCTGGCCCAGCTGGGCTGAAACTCCCCCCCCTCCCAATTAAAATA